GATTGGGACGACCTGTGCTGACAGCCTTCAAGTTGAAATTCGTTGTTGAGGCACCTCCTTAAACACTTTCTACACTCGAGAACTTGATGAAACTCCGTGAGGGCGATGTGAAAGTTGCACGAGTGCCTAGGATCCCTGTTGGAGCTTGACGTAGCCATCACACTGTGCTGGTACCATCTTGTACCCTCCTCGCATGTTTCAGTCGCCCGCCATGGTGCATGAACTTCATTGCCCTTTGGCTGGCCTTCATGCTGAGTCAATGGAACAACATGGCAACACGCGGTCACACATGAATTGCCAAACCCATAGACTTCAACAAAGCTTTCAGGATTCCAATGGCTATTGCCACTTCCAGCCCCAGGCGTGGGGGGTCAAGAGGTCTTTTTTGATGCTCAGAAGTGATGGCAGAAGGACATTGGATGTTGGATAAGTGAGCTGGTTCTGATAGCCTTTTGGATCCTTTTGGGCACTTACTGTATATTTTTTCATATTCTTTTCAATGAGTGAAGCCGTCCTGTGCGCAAGAGATTTGTATAATCGGGTGAAGAATAATAAGAATACTGTATGCATTGGCCATGATATAGCCTGACCACAATAGAGCATTTCTCGCTGATCCCTCCGGCCAATGGGACACGGTATTTCGCCATGTTGTTGATACCCTCAAAAATTGGCCTTGATGAGTGCAGAATCACAAGTTTGCGACCGGTGTACAAATTCAGGACATCCTTCAACCAGAAGATGCTGTACCACAAGGCACAGGCTGTTTTTGTTTGACGGGTTTTGCAGCCTTTTGGCTAAATCACCTTGGGAGCCTCGGGATGTTTAATGTTAGGCGCAGTGAATCCCTTTCTGCAACCTCATTATATAGTGCAAGGAGCTCAGACAGATTAGATGGCAGCAGCCTCGCTAAATGTAACTCTCATCATTTCTCATCCAAGTAATTACACTCCCTGAAACAATCATGGAAGTGGAAAATGTATGAAAATGTCCCTTGACAATCTTCCATCTTTTTCCCCCCACATCGTACGGACTTCACCGAAGTGTCAAGTCCCTTGACTTGCGTCGGGTACGAGACAGTGAATGACACAGAGAACATGAAATCTACGATGTAAGGAGAGTTCCGCTACAAACAGGTAGTTTTCCGCTTCCATGATTATTTCGGGGAGTAACGCTCCGGTGGGCATGTCGGCCGGACCGTCGGGTTCGGCTGGTTGAGGAGATCCTCTCCTTGATGGATGCCGTGGTCACCGGGGATGAGGTGAAGAATGGGAAACCCGCGCCGCCTGGAGATGGGACGTGCCGAGTGGGTTGCATTCTTTCGAACATCTTTAGCTCAGTGAGTCAAGGAGAAGGAGATCTTGTCCTGAGATCCATTGGAGACTGTAGTTGGGGCGCGCATGCGCCACCGGCAAGAACCAAGGGTGTTGGCTCTGGTAGTTACCCTTCCCCAATTCACTTCGAGTCAGGGCGGTTTAAACATGCTAAAGCATCGTAGCCGAGGCCTGATATCTTTCAGGAGGCGGCACGACGGCTAGGCAAGAACGCCAGCAAGTGCGTGGTGCCGGGGATCTCAGTAGCAGCTACAGGTGACCACCGACATGCCAAACGGAATGCAGCATGGCGGCGTAGGGTGATGTTTTACCTCTAATAGCCTCTATATATATGGTTGCTTCATTGCCTTTCAGACAGCTCCGCTTTTTCATCCACTCTTCTCCCTTCTGTTGACTCCACACACATTTAATTCCTGATCATCTCATGCTTCTCAGGAATCACGCCATGACATGCTCGGTTCCATGCTGCGCATTTGGCCGCCCTCATTGAGGTTTGAGGACTCGCCCTTGGGCATCCGTGGGGCACAGGCCTGATGTAGCTTCAGCACCGTAAGGTCACAGGGAACCACACCTTTTGGCATCAGCCAGTGGAAGCCAGATCCAGTTTCCCTGGCGTTCAGTCGAGTGTGCACAGGTTTTCTGGAAGAATGCCGTTCGGAATTTGTTGCTGCTTTCATCCTGCAGCACCTGCAGCACCTGAACCACCCACTTGATTAAGCAGGGATTCGCATGGATTTTCGATTGTGGCAAGGCTGCTGGAGCCTTGACAGTGGCACTGCCAGATCCCAGGCAGGGTGATGCTGGATCTATATCACGTATATCAATTGATAGTTATGGATGCATTTGATGAAAGATGCATAATATTCAGACATTTGGTATGATTGATACATGCACACACACGCACACAAATCTACATACTGCGCATGTGATCCCCCCAGGCCCCCCTCAACCACACTTGTGAAGGAATGTCTTCCTCCCAAAAGCGGACCCAACGGAGGTTCCCCGAGAATGCTCGGAAGCTGGCGGAGCTGTCGCCCACCTGGCTGTTGAAGGAAGGTATCGGCCGCTTGGACGGTGGACGCGGATCGTATGGAGGTTCATCCTGGTCGGTGGGGAGGATGGGACTAGGGTAACCTCTCGTACCATTTGGACATGTCACGGCCTGTGCCCAGGAAATCCCATTCATGAATGAGATGAATCTATATGAATCTGCACATGTGGTGCATTTGGGGAGGGGATGTCTGCACATGTGGTGCATTTGGGGAGGGGATAAAGGGAGTTGATCAAGAGGTTTCCAGAAGTTGAGGTGGACTCTATCTCACTCTAATGGGTATCCATATCAACACTTGACCACATCAACGTCTTGTGACGAGCCCTTGGCATCTTCAAAGCCAACCCTTGCCACACACAGGGCTCGAGCCCTCAAGTCGTCCGAGGCCAATTTAACCACGAAGAGCTTGAACTGGAAGACTGAGAGGGTAGAGAAATGCCGAGCGCAGATCCTCGCCGCGGAGTGTAAACCATTGTAGAGTTCAATCGATTGATTCTTGTGAGTTTCGTTAGCCTTCCACACACTGGAAGCCACGTTGAGCTAGCAAAAGACTTCGACCTGTGGCCCGTTTTTTTGACAAAGGCATGCAGGCATTGTACTCAGATTGGTTGCCAAGAAAGGCAGACAGCAATTTCGCAGAAGTATGCAGAAACCATCAGTTACCATGATGACTCAGAGGTTTGCGATACATATATATATACATATGCATACCTGCGTATATATATATATATATATTACTGTATATGCATGGTGTTCATTATTATACTGGTCATGATGATCGTGATGCATGCAGGGTTTGCTCCGCCCAGTTGTTTCGGAGCATCAGACTTCCCACAGGCAGAAGAACAGAAGCATCGCTTTCCTTTGCCTCTTTCTAGGCTGCTGGGGCAAGACAGGTGAGGAGGTGTAGTAGGAATGAAGCCTCCTGCCACACACATAAATTCATTATATGAAGCATGTGTTCTCAGGATTTCATCAGGACCATCCAGATTTCTTCGCATGAGTGCGGTTGGTGTTTTGTTGGCTTTCAACGATTTCCATCCGGGATGGCCATTCGCAACATATACAGATCCTATACGTTTTGCTTGTTCTATTTTCCACACGAACGCCTGGACAATCCTCTCTGGGCATGTCTGGGCTTTCTGGGTCGAGGCCCGCGAGCACCGGGACGCCCAAGCAGCGCTCCTCTTCCTTCGGACTCGCCCGGGCGCCGAGGAGTGAAGCCGGGTCGAAGGCACAGACCACCCTCCCGTGGTCATGCCTTGGCATGGCCCCTGAAAGTTAAAGTAAACTATATAATAAACCGGTCATGAGTGGGAGTGCAATGTCTTGCTTGCATAGTGGTCTCAAGATGGCTCAAGTCGTCTTATGTGTGCCAAGCAGCTGGTGAATGCAGCAAGATGCTCTTATCATGGTCACCTGCATTGAGGGGGTCGACAGATGCTCAGTGGGTTGACTATTGTAGAAGGCTGAGCCCAAGTGGTGACACTCATTTCGTATCATCAATCGCGGTTGGGAAGAGCTCGGGTTTTAGAGGATCGGAACAATGGTTCTAACATGTTTCTGGAATTCTTCAAGGAGCCCATCTTGAAGCCCAAGCAATTGCGCAACTGACGTAGCTTTGTCAGACCTTTCACGTTCCAAGACCGCCTTTCGATTGAATGTTCTGTGCAACGCACCCCCCATTGGTCGGCGCCACCACGCGCATGGCTTTTTAAGCATCCACCCGTCCTCCATAGGCCGGAAATTCTTCCCCTGCCACTCGTCCACGGATGATGCCGGGCGCCTCACTCGTGTTGGGGGGGTGAGAAGGCTACCTAGGTTGAACATGCCTATAGTGCAAAGCAGGTAGTGTTGGCGGCTGTAGGCTGTTGGACCCTTGGAAACAACAGCAATGTTTGACCAGCTTGTGCAGCTGGAAGCAGCAGGTATCGGCAGCTGTGCCCCACCTAGACTACTGCCAATACGTGATGTTCAGTGTGATGTTCGTTTTCCGCGCCGCACACGCACGGAGGAAGCCTGGACTCTCCTCCAACATTTTGGTGCAGTAGGGGCAGCAGGTGACTAGCCAAAAGGTTTAAAGGTGGATGACCCAAACCGCCCATTTAAGAGAGCAATTTTGATGGGGATCTGGGATCCATATGGTCCATATGGTCCATATGGTATTTGCCACCTTATCCATCAATCATGGCAGTTGTGCCAAACCTTCCTCTAAACCTATTGTATGACATGCTCAGACCTGCTCTTCACCGCAGGTCCGGAGTGTCAGATCTCGGCGAGGCCGGTTTGGCGCGGCATACTCGGCCCTCCAGTGAGGGACGGATCTCATGGGATCTGATCTCCCGTAAACGCCCGAAATCCGGGCCTAACTCATGGGAACTATGCCATAACATGCCACAACTATGCCTTAACATAGGTATTCATGGGAATTTGTTTGGGGCGTGAGAACGTCATAGTTCAATTTTATATCCGAGAAGATTCCACCTTATACAGGGGGGTAAGGGGTTCACGAACTTCGACGAATTCTCCTTCGCATTTGCTGCAGCTGGGTGCTTGTGCAGACTTAAGCGCCGACCGTTTTGCTGGTGGCTTCGCAGCTGTTTTTTTACACATCGATCATGGCGAAGGGCAAAGGCTTCAAGGGCCTTGGCAAAGGGAAGGCCTGGAGGGGGGTCGCGTCAAAGGTGGTGGTGAGGGCGGATGATCTTCGTTCCACGGGTCCAGGTATGTGAGATGTAACATTCTGGACAGCGCATCTGAAAGAACAGCGCCCTTGAAAGCCCTAAGCAATATCTATCACATGGGACGAGTAGCTGAGTAGCTCGCGAGGAGCAGTGGACACATTAAGCACCGAAGTGAGCATTGATCAACATGCTTTGACCAAGCAGAACCTGATTTTGCGGGCGCGGAGCCGTGCAGGGCAAGGTAGAGAGCTACAGCTACAACTACAAGACTGAGATTTGCACATTCTTTGAGCATGGCAAATGTGAGCCTTGGAAGAAGCTGTAAGCCTTATCCAGCGAGACAGATTGCATAGGCATCTGGTGGTAGACGTGGAACTGTAAGTGTCCAGAACACGGGGCATGCATGCATGTCAGAAAGCTACATGCAGTTGTCCATTTATGTCCATGCAATTGGGTGTCATGATGCAGAACTCGTAAGTCGTAAGGATCACATTGACATGCAGGACTTTTGGATGCTTTGGGTGCTCTAGGCTCTAGGCCAAACTCTGGATCACCTAAATCCTTTCTTGTGGATTGCCATACGCCACACGCGCACCAAAAAGCGTTCCATGATTTTTTGACCGATATACACACACACACACACGTTTGTTTTGTGTGTTTCTTCCCTTGAATTGATGTTAGGTACATAAATGCAGGTGAAGAGGTTTAGTTAAATCCCTGGGATGGGGTTTCTGGAAAACCAAAGGTTGGGGACAACATGGAGGTTTTGCTTGGTGCAGCTCGGTCGTTGACTTGAAATAATAGGAACATGAATCAAGGTTCGGCTACTGTGCTCATTCAGCACATGTGTGAGAACGTGACTCATGCAAAAGCAACATCATGACTGGTTTTCCCATCATTCTTGTATCATTATATCATGATGTTCGCTGATATCATTGGAAGACTGATGCCAAAAGGAAGGAGGTTGCTCCATTCACATACTTCCGCACCTGTCCGGACTAGAAATGCAGCTCCACGTTGCGCCTTTGCCGAGGTCAAGGGTCCCACGTGCCCCTTCGCCCATGGGGAGCATGAATTGAGAGGTGGTGCTCCAGAGGCATGGTGGGGTCATCGGGGTGGGGGGTGGTGGCTAGCTATACCTACTGGAGATTTGGAAGAGGTCCACACGAAGCGCACAACACGTCACAAAACACGGAAGTATGGATGGTGAACATGAGACGGGAGGGTGTTGTGATATGTTGTGATCATTTTTGGGGATGTAGGAATTTGACAAGCGTTCACTTTTGCTGGGGCGCGGCCAGTATAGATACTAAAGAAAGAAATCGGAAGGAGCTTTGCCAGCACCAATGCTGTATATGCCAATGCGGCTTGATATGGATATATTTCCTTTTTGGAGGCGTGCAACTCGGTGTAGGAGCTCAAACGGGTTTCCCATCATGTGCTGGTGATAAGACTTCGTTGACTTTGGGCCGATGCTGCAAACCTTGCGAAATCATATTATGCTTTCAACGGTTTACCTTTGGTGGCTAGAAGGTCTCCGTAAAAAGAAGAAACCATGATAAAACCACCAGCACCGTGTTGAGTGGGAGCACCCCAAATCATGTCCAAGGGATTTAGGTTGGATCTCATGAAACCACCCAAAGTGGAGCAGCTGAGTTCTCCATGATCCTTGTTTCTCGGCGATCCCTGGTGATCCTGGTTTCTGCGACTGGCGTGCCAGGTTAGAGATCAGGGCAAGCAAAAGGATGCGGAGGTGATGTGCTGGCTCAAGGTGCCGAGTGAGACATTCCTACTCAGAAGTGGTCTGAGCGGTTTTGGCACAAGTTCGCATGGTACAAAGCCAGGTTGAAATGGACTCAAGTTGTCAGCAAACCGTTGCTCCCCAGTGAAGGATTTGCAGTGAAACCTCCCTGCACACCATTAAGTTGTTGCTTCCCGACCGGATCAGCAGAGGGGTGCTGTGTGCCGGCAGGAGCAGAGGGAACAGGGTGGCGTTGCTGCAGAAGACTTTGAGAAGAGATGGCTGCCCGGATTCAGCAAGCAGCAAGCACCTCTAGATGCGGCGTTACAGAAACATGCCGAACCAACGCAGACCTCATTCAGCACTTCGATCCCTGCCTGCCCCCCAATCAAGCAAACACTTAGAACAGCCCGTTCCGCCGGTAACCTACAGTAAGTGTGGCAGTAAGTGTGGCGGCATGCACCTTTGTCAAGCCTGAGTCTAAACATTTATCCCACAGAAGATCGTGGTAGAGCAACCACCCAACTGTACATGTGTGAATTTCAGCGGTTGTAGCCAGGGTGTATTGCGTACAGTTGATGCACCGTCGCTGCTGTTTCGGCTGAATAGGGCCCTTGAGCTGATTCGCTGCTGCGAAAAGGAACTGTGCGAGATTCAAACTGGTAGCGGAGCAGGTTCTGAAGGGGCACCCTCAGGATCTGACTCACCCGGGGAGACTCGCTGGATCCAAAACCGTTGAACCCAATTGCGTGACCCTGCGCGCAATCCGTCGAACCGTTGTAATTCCAGTGCTTTGCGAAGCTTGTTGAGTTGCGATGTCGCTGGCTGGCCTGCGGTACACATCCCATGGAGGAAGTATCTCAGGACCACAGGAAACGAAGAGCGGATCATACATCTACAGTGGCAATCCAAATGGTTTCTTCGAATGGGAGTTTCGCACCAAGGTCCGCGTTGCTTTGCACAAGCAGAAACACGCGAAGAAGAAGTCAGAGAAGACCTATTCGAGTCATGGAAGCCAATCAGCCACACCAGAACGTTCTCAGAGGAGGCCGACTTATGCGACCGAAGCTGGGGATGTATCAGAGGATGACGAGGTACGATTTGAAGCTTTTGGAACCCCGAAGTCCGAGAGCGTGGCAGGAGAGGAAGAACCAGCTCTGAGCACTGCCGGACTGGATGATGATGGAGCAGAGTATGCAACACTTGTTCACAAGGTGTTGGAAGGTCTGCGAGGTGATGCATACCTTACAGCCCAAGACATGGGACTGGAGAAGTTGTTGACCCCAACTGGCATCGATGAGTTGATTTCGCGTATCCGTGCACAAGTTTTCCCACTTCGACAGCAAGAAGCACGAGAGTTGTTCAGAGTGGGTCAGCTCCCACATGGTCCCTTGTCTCGCCAATCGACAGAAAGCATGACTAGCTACATTTCACGAAGACGTCGTTGGTGGAGGAAGCTTTTGGAGATGGATGATGGGGTAAGTCTTTCAGACCCCATGCGTGGTGAGCTACTTCTGGAAGGCTCTGGCTTGAGCAAGACAGAACAGCTTATGATCAAGACAGCTGCAGGCGACAACCAATCCTTTGACGTCTACGCCAAGTTCTTGCTTGAATTCCATGGACAAATTCACTTGCGCAGCTGGTCCGCTTTTGGCAATGCGAGCCCTCGGAGGCAGAAAGGCGGAGGCAAGTTTTCAGGCAAGTCTTCCTACAAAGGAGGAAAAGGGCGCAGTTGGCAAAGATCTGCGTACATTGTTGAGGATGACTCATGGGATTATGAAGATTCCTATGGGCCAGAAGCAGAGGACGACTATGAGCATGAAGCTTATGTTGCAGCAGATGACGAAGAACCAGAAGACGAAGAACATGAAGACTATGTCGAGGACCCTGAAGTTGCCACAGCATTGATGGCAATGGGAGAATGTGATGATGAAGAGAACGATGTCTCAGAGGAACTGGCCAGCGCAGCCCAGCACCAGATGATGGCCTTTGTCGTGACTGACCAGTTGAAGGGCAAGAGCAAAGGCAAAGGTAAAGGTTCAGGAAAGAAAGGTGGTAAGAGCAAAGGGAAAGGCAAGTATGTGTTCAGGACACAGTTGAGCGTGCAAGACAGGATTGCACGTCTAGCAAAATTGAAATCAGTATCCAAATGCTTGCGTTGTGGAGGAAAAGGACATTGGGCAGGAGACCCAGCTTGCAAGTTTCCCAAACAGAACGACAAGTCCCCTGGAGGAACGTCGTCGACGAGTAAAGCCACAGCCTACTTTGCATTGAGTGATGATGAGTCTTCTGTTGAAGATGAATACATGTGTGTTGATGTCAGTGGCCAAACTGTCGAAAATGGTACGTGCTACATGGCATACAAGATGTCCCCAAAGAAGAAGCTTGAGTTTGAACCGTCAGACCGTGCATCCATGTCGTCAGGAGCGACCAGCAGTCCACCGTCTAGCTTTTCGATGGTCGAGCCAAATGTCCGTCGGTCACCACAGAAGTCCCCACCGGTCATGCGTAGGAAGAAGGACATGGAGCAAGACTTGCTGCCTGAAGGTTCACAGAATGTCTTCGTGTTTGGTCAGCACCAAGGTTTGACATATCATGAAGTGTTGTTCAAATACCCTGGATACTATCAATGGGGATCTGGCATTTCGCACCCTTCGCGTTGTTTGGCAGATTTTCTGACCTGGGTGACCACGTACTACGAAGTCAGTCAGGACGGAGACGTGAGCCTGAGAGAGCATCCATTGACAGATGTGCCAGTAGAGGCAATTCGACGTACTGGAGACAAGAGTGCCAAAGGGAAACCACCAAACCCCCCGCTAGAGGAACCATGTCGTCGTTGCACCAGATTTACATTTCAAGGTTCAAATGCCTATGTTGAGAACAAGACATGCCTTGACTGCAGAAAGAATGAAAGAAAGAAGAAAGAGAGCAAGCCTACTGCTGACCCCGCAAAGTGCAAGCATGAGGTTACGGATCGTCGGGGTAGTTCGAAAACCACGTCTCGCTGGTACTGCAAGTTGTGCGGAACCACAGTCGACGAGATGCCCCGAGCAGAGGCGCGCAAGAGAGAGGCAATGGCAAAGAGTGTAGTAGGCATGCGCACCAATGCATTCGACACGACAGCATCCATGATTGAGAATGAAATCAACGATGCATGCATGTCAGCTGAAGGAACCCTAGAGGTCATGGAGATGTTTCGACAAGAGGTTGAGTGTGAGTTAGAATTTGGAGAACCTGTGAGGGTTGGCGTCCTGTTCGAGATCCTTGCCAATGCCGTGGAAGTCATCAGAGAGGCCGCCCCGGAAACTTGCTACATGGGACTGTTGTCGGATCTCAATGAAGCCACAATTGAAAACACACTTCGTCTTGTTGACATCATGGAAGACCCTGGAGTCTGGGCTGTGTTGGATGAAGGATGTAATGCAACTGTTTGTGGACAAGCATGGATCCAAAACGCCAAAGACAAGTATGCACGACTTGGATATGATGTAGCTGATTTGCAGTGTGACTCAAAAGCCTTCCGAGGACTCGCCGGAGACACCAAGACTTTGGGCAAGTGTCGAATTCCATTTGCTTTGACCTTTTTGGACCCCGAGACGAAACTTCCGGGAGTCATGGAAACGCATGTTGTCGATGGGAAAATTCCCTTGCTTTTGTCACAGCATGCTCAAGCTGCATTGCATTTCACGAAATCTATGGGTGATGCCAAGTGTTATGTAGGAAATGCAGAACTTGAACTGTGCAGAGCTAGGAACTCAGGACTTCTATGTGTGAACCTCTCAGAAGGTCTCAAGAGCCTAAAGTCCAAGAGACTCCCAAAGCAACTTCGAGAACTTAAGAACACGGATTATGGCATGAGCTTCAACATTCGCCCATCAGATCAATTGACTGCGTTCATGGCTGACGAAGAGCGCCCGACTAGAGGCACTTTCACGCTGGATGGCCCTGCTTGCGTGCATGTCCTGACGTGTGGAAAGGAGTTCCATGGCCAGATTGCGAGCTTCGACCGCAGCAAGAGCCTGATTACATTGGGACCCATCCTGGCACAATTTGACCCCGGGAGGCGATTGCTAATATTTGACTGCATGGGATTTGGAGATCCTCAACACGACCCGCAGTTGCGAGCCCATGTTGGTACACATCCTGAAATCATTCGAGGGATGACTGGCAGTGAGAAGACGATGGAAGCATTGCTATATGAACTTCATCACCTGAAGGCATGCCATGAGAAGGGGCGACAGCTGGCTGTCATAGCCTATTGCAGGCGAAACAGACACAGATCTGTATCCTTCGGTTGGTTGTTGGCAACGGCGTTCAGCAAGCTATGCCCGAGAGCTCACTTGACCTTGACACATTCCAACCAGGATCATTCATGGAGCCAGATGAGCGGTACATGCAAGGGCAAATGTGCTATGTGCACGCATGAGTCGCATGATGCTTTGGAAGCAGCCTTGAGGTCGAGGGACTATGTCTTGAAGCAGTTCGGCTTGAAGGCAGCTCCAACATACAGCCATGTTGGCCTGGTGGTATTTGACTCGGAAGTTGAAGCCCGAGAGAGCGATAGAAGATCCCAGGCTCCTGTCGGTTCTCGCGTGCTGCCGCCACCGCCGTGTCCAAAGAAACCACCAGTCCTTCGCCCCGCGGTGGTGAAGGCAAGCTCAGCAAAAGCATCGGCCCCAGTGCCAAAGGGGACACACACCATGTCCCATAGAGGACCAGGATCCGTGAGGGCAGCATCACCAGATCCACCACTCGCTGCAGCAACACCCAAGGCACCAACACCCAAGGCACCAGCATCTGAGGAACCAGCACCTGAAGAAGATGAGAGTCGATACAATGAAGATGCTGAACTCCGTCGCCGTGACAAGGCTGAGACCTCCAGGCAGGCAGAACCAAGGGGTGAATCAGTTGCTACAAGTCGGCCTGATGCCGCGACACAGGCCTTGCTACAGACTGTCGAGTTGTTGACGCAGCAAGTGAAGCAAATGCAGGAACGTGAGTACGAAAGGAGACGATCACGTTCAAGGGACAGACGCCGAAGGGAGCGATCAGACAGCCGGGACTACCATCGTGGAAGGAGACGTGACAGTAGCAGAGAGTACCGGCGCGGAAGAAGCAGAAGTTTGTCGAGGAGAAGGTCACATTCATTTGGTCGCATTCCAACACCACCAAAGCTGATCCCGAGAGAGCCGGAAGGACCGCCTCCTAGATGGCATTACTACAGATCAGGTCGTGGAACCAGTCGTGATTCAGAACAGTCAGCTTGGCAAGAACGTCGATA